CACATGCTTCCATATTGCCATGACGACAGCCGTCTACACGGGGGGCATCACGCTGACCGGCTACCCCGTTGTGTGCCAGGCGGTGAGTCCGTCTCCGTGCAGTTAGACCCTGTGTGGGAGTTGGCTTGGGCTTTGCCTTTGACCCGCATGTACGCCCCATTTAGGTGGGCATCGCCTTGCACTACTCCTCCTTGTCCACGCTGGTCTGGATTGGCGTCAGCGCCAGGGTCATCTACAAAGAGGCCGTCTGGCGGTTGCCACGACTACAGGAGGGCGAGTCCCCCGTGCCGCCCACTCAGAGGCCCATGCTCAGGTCAGTGATGTCACCAGAGCCATGGGAGCCGCGTAGATCACATGGTGCTAGACGGGCACGGTTGGGGCACTTCTGAGGGAGGTGCCCCCTGTTGACCAGAGTCCCGTGACTTGGCAGCACGGAGAAAAGAGCCCCTTTGTCGTGAAGATGTCTGAGGCCGCTGGAGCCACCAGAGTACAAGGGAGAAGCAGGAGCAGATGTGGGGGGGGGGGGGGAATGTACAACCAATGAATTAGTGAGGTCGGGAGGAGGGCCATAAATCCCATGTGACCGCCGTTGGGAGCGAGCTGTCATCATCTGGGACCCGCCAGCTCCTCTCTGCGCTGTCCGTCCTCTGACCCCCAATCCAGGCCTCCCTGTCACTCTCCCCTGCAGATAGTGCAGATGCGGGGGGGGAAGTGGGGGGACACACTGAGGGAGCGCCCCCAGCCCACACGGAACTGCCGTGTGGGCCGGAGAGGCCTGAACAGCGGCCCGTTTCACTTCACCCGGGACACCTAAGGGTTGGAACATCCACAGCTGCCCGATGAAACAGAGCCGGGGGAACAAGGGTCCTTTATCCGGGGAGCCCCAGAGCCCACCCTGCATGCAGACCCCCCCGGGGGGCAGACTGCGCTCCTGCCGCTCTGCTGCTTGATCGCCGAGGCTTAGTAGCCTTGGGTGTAACTAGTAAAAGTGACTTCAAGGGAGACCTCTGTCAGTGACCCCCCCCCCCCCCCTCCCTGGGGGGTCTCTGGGAGTCACAGATGACATCCATGCATGGTGGGGGTGTATGGGGGGGGGGGGGGTTTGGGCAGTTTAGAGATAAGCTGTGTTTTCTTCTTCAGCAGAAATGTCGGCCCTCGTTTTCGGGACTCCCTTCTCATGCTGGCTCTTCGTCCCTCTGCCCCCCCCCCCCCCCCCCCCCCCCCCCAGGTTCTATCTGGTTGCTGGCGGGGTCCCACTCATCATCTGCGGCATCACTGCTGCTGTCAACATCAACAACTACGGCGACGGCATCCCATAGTAAGTGCTGTCTGCTCTCTGCCGCTGCATTTGTGCCGTGAGGCGTCTCTGGGAAGAGGGCTGGGGAACAAGTGGCCCGATTGTGTGTCACCCCGCTGACCCCTCTCTCCCTGCGACCCCCGCAGCTGCTGGCTCGCCTGCCGGCCCAGTCTGGGTGCCTTCTTTGTCCCTGCCGGCCTGGCGGCACTGGTGACATGGATCTACTTTCTGTGCACCGTGTCCCGCCTGCGGCGGCGTGGGTCACTGCAGTCCAAACAGCCTCCCGCCTCGGACACGCCGGCCCCGGCTCCCGAGAGCCAGGCGGCGCTGGGCAGGAGCGCCAGCCTCCTCTCCACGGACTCGGCGACGGCCCCAGCGGTGGTACCGGAGGATCAGCACCCACTGAAGGCTCAGCTTCTTGCCCTCGTGGCCACGCACTTCCTGTACGTGGGGCTCTGGAGCTGCGGCGCCCTGGCCGTCTGGCAGACGGGGCGGAGCAGCCTGCTGTTCAGCTTCCTTTACGGGGTCGTCGCCGTAGGGCTTGGCTGCCTCCTGCTGGCATTCCACTGCTTCCTGCGCCTCGATGTCCAAGCTGCCTGGCTAGGATGCTGTCCGCGGTACCGCCGTGCCCGGCCCGTGCCGAGCTACGTGCAACCCCCGGCCGTGCAGCCCACTGCCTGCGATCACGGCTCTCAGATCCTGGTCCCCTCAGGGGAGCCTCCCGGCTCAACCTCTACCCGGTCCTCCTCTACCCCCAGCGGTGTGAGCGGCGTGGGCCCCGCCCCCTGCAAGCTCACCAACCTCCTGCAGGTGGCGCAGGACGGTGCTGGCGACCTCGCCCGAGCCCATGGCAGCACCAACGGCAACGCCAGCACTGACAACATCGCCAAGCAGGCCAACAGCAACCTGCTGTCCAGTGCGGCAGCCGCAGGTCAGTCGCAGAGAAAGAAGGCCAGCGGCCGGACTAAGCAGGGCGGGGGCGGTGGGCAGTACCTCCACCGGGGGGAGAGCAGGGGCCACTACCGCCTTCGCGCCCTAAGAGGAGGAGGCGGCGGGGGCAGCGTTGGGGTGCTGGGACCTCCTGGCCTGGAGCAGCTGGGCTCGCAGCCGCCCCACAGACATGCCTCCAGCGGAAACGGCAGCCTCCGCCATAGCAACTCTGAGAGCCAGACGAGCCCGCTTGCCAACGGGAGGCGGCTGGGCGAGGTGCCCGTCACCAGCCCATCGGAAGGCAGCGACGGCGGCAGCAGTGGTAGCCGCCGGCCTTACCCCCTGCTCCCCTCGGTGGCCAGCAGGGCGGCGCAGAGACGCAGCGCGAGCCGGGACAACCTGAAGCTGGCCGCCGCGGCAGAGAGGGAGGCCAAGCGCAGCTCGTACCCGCTCAACGGCGCCCCCGCAGCTCCGAACGGCACGCTGAAGGGCTCCGGGGTGGAGCTGGATGCCAGTGGCACGGACCGGTCGCAGGGCTCGCTGGGCATGAAGGGCAGCGTCTGGAAGAGCGAGACCACCGTGTGATGGGCTGCGGACCAAAGCAGCTTTTACCAAAGGGTCCAAATGGGCAAAGGGGTTGATGCAAATCCAGTCTGGCTTCGAATAAACATTTAATGTGAACGGTCAATTAAAACTGGTTGAAGTAGCAGAGTATTCCTATGGCAGTGAGTTAGGAGTCATAAGGGAGGTGGCAATCCTGACCATTATCATCCTGTTTTCCTGCTCGAGGGTCACTGCAACACATTTGTTCAGGGACATCTGTCTATGGCGAGAATCCAGACCTGGGCTCCACACGGGAATACGCTACATATCTGTTTATGAAATATAAAAGATAAATACAGCTATAGCTTTATCTTTTATTGCATCTTTCAAGATAAATACCTAGTCTGTTTTATATCTCATGGGCATTTAGAAAGCTAGGAGTGGTAATGTTTTCTGACTCCATCTTGGAAAAACCACAGGGAATATTCAGGCTCTGCTTTGTTCAATCTTTTTCTATCTATGCACATCACCTTTGGCAGGGAAAGGGAAGCCAGATATGCCGTTTTTCAGCGTAAACCATGAACATTCCTTCTGTCAAGGACAGATTTGCTCGTACGCCTATCTGGTCATGGGTGTCCATGTGTTAGGGTGCCTGTGTGTGCAGCTGTATAATTTCGACCAGCTTTTTAATCCGCTGACTGTAAAGTTTGGAAAATACACAAGTGCTGACAGATTGGTCAGCATGTTAGTGATGACCGCAGGTCAAAAGGTCACGTTTTGACCACTCGGTCAGGCTGCCGTTTTCAATTTAAGGACCTGTAAGTATCGTGAAACTGTTCTCCCAAACAGTTCTGTGAATTCAAATTTGACTTCACGGTGCAAGCAACATGGATCTATTGCCCTCTTGTGGATCAGTAATGTCATTGCGTGTACACCGAATCATAAGGGACCTAAATCATGAATCAACATAAATCAGAAAACTGTGGCTGGGTTTTGTAACATTACACCCTCCAAAAACTGCACTTATAAGTGGACATGCAGAGTATGAAAATTTGATTCTTATGAAAACACCACCTGCTCTTCCTTCTCCAGATTATTTACTAGTATAACTACATCTGCAGTTCCAGCACATGTAGTCAGCAAGTGCAGTCATTCATGCATCTTAGATGAATCCCCAATGTTCTGATCTACAGCAGTTCATCTGGGGTGTTGATGTGGCCTGGTAGAATATAAATGACCAAGAATAACGACATCCAATAGCATCACTTATGGGTCAGAACAATCAGCCATCAAATTAAGGGCTATCCATTTCACAGAGCACCGTTGTTTACATAGTAATATACAAGTATAGCCTATTGTAATACCAATAATAACATGGCCTCATAGAACATATGTAGAATTCTGTAGGCCACAAGGAAGCTTCTGCTTATCCACTGCAAATCGCCACAGGATGTTGCTATAGGTGTATTCAGGGAAATAATCGTTGCCAAAGAATGATCAGTATTAAATACCCTTACAGCATCACTCCTAACCAAGAGAATTTACTGTTAAGATATTTCCAGTGGATGTTCTCCTACCAGACTTGAAACCTCCTCCAGAAAGTCTTATGTGGAGGCATTTAATCATGACATCCTGAGCTTTGACAAAGATTCAGAGACACGTAACATATTTTTATTTACGTTAGACACTGTACAATTAGGTTAGTTCTTTCCTCTGCTAATTATTTTCAAAGGAGGAATCTGTACTGTGTGTCACTTGATGGATACAGACTGATCCATAGAGTAGCCTGTCAAACATCAAAGCTACGCACAGGGAAACATTTTGGCCAAAAAAGTGCTAAAACAGTTTCATTATTCCATTAAAATGCCATTAAATCCGATGAAATGGAATTCAGTAGTTTCATTTTCATCTATTGTAACATTGGTTTTGGCGTTTGTTAAAAAAAAAAGAGTCAGAAGTATCGCAGTAATAGAGCTGCCTTGGTAATTATGCTGAGAATTCAGAACCTGGGAACTTAATCATGGTGAGAGAAGCATACGGGAAATGAAATCTGAACTGCAGGAGAAAGGGAACCTCTCCTTTAGGACTGTCAACAGGATTAGAAAATACACTAAAATATCCATGTTTATTGGGAAATTACTTAAGGTAAAGCTTTTTTGCTATGTGTATACTGGCTGGTTCTCTGCTAACACCCTTGCTATGTCTAGACCCTTTTGGGGTCTGTCTGTTGGACTGTGGTGTTTTTTGCTGTCATTCCAGCTTAGTGACAGTTTTCATCTCAAATAAAGGGAGATTTCATGATTGCAAGCATATTTATATTTTGACTGTCACAGTGCCATCAAAATGATCATTAAAATAATGAAATGATTGATTGCCAATAATATATTTTAGGATTCCAAACTGTGCCTTATAAGAAACTTTAAACTTGCCACTGATTTCAGTGTGGTTTATAACAGTATTATAAGTGGGACAAAGCCTAGAGTAAAGCCTTGTGAACTACAGTTATTTTAATTATAAAGAGATTCAGTGAATGTATGTTTATTTGGTTTTATAGTTCTATAATTATGTTACCCTTATATATGGCAACATCCTAATAATAATGACAAGAAACACAATAAAATATAAATAATAATAAACATTTACAAATATTTCACATACACGACATACTAACATACAGACGGATATGCCGACAATTTAAAATTCTAAGTGTCCCGAACTGAAAATCACTTCTGGATTCTTCTTGTTAGTATTAGGAGAAGGTCGGCACGTGTACTGCGGAGCGTTTGGGATCTTTACGTAATGGTGTGACTTTACCTGCCCCTGCAAAAAAAATGTTGCTTCGACCCAATTACGGAAGGCATGGAATTGATTGTCAGGGACTCAGCCAATGAAATGCCAGCGATTGACTATATTGGGTTGGATCAAGCGCCATCCACTCAAGGAAGGAGGAAGTTTGCCTAACAGAGCTTCAGATGTCAGCGTCTGCTCCTAGCAACTAAATACGACGTGTAAATAGCCATAATTTATAGAAATTATATTTTTTAACTTGTTTTCTCTTGATTTTAAAATAGGCAACTCTAACTGTGAACGATCCATTTTTGCTAGCTAGCCAACTGGTAAGAGGACTTTGCTTCACGGTTCGGCGTCGTTACCGTGTGCTGTACCTTTGGCACCTGCTATGTTGAGCAGTTCGTGCTTGTTCTGTTGCGAACCACTGCGGGAATGACCTTATCTCGCCGGCGCTTGAGGAATTAATGAGTCAGTTTGCTTTCGACGAGGACATAGTTTGGTGACCGAAACCCCGGACCTTCAAAACGCTGAACAGAACAAATCAACGCAGGATCGATTGAAAGAACAAAGAGAGGCTCGCGCTGGCGCGTTCTGCTCTGGAACGTGTAAGTAACCGAGTGGATGTTACGGGGAGCACGCGCTGGGTTCCTTCCGCGGGAAGATCGAAGCTTTAAGGGCAATTAGCAGTGAAATGCTACGGTGACTCTAAACAGCGAGATTGGCTTCAGCGGGGCTAATATTTAGCGTGAGATCGATCCCTGTGTGCTTAACCAGTTTGGGAAAACAAACAGAAGCCCTGCGGGGAGAAAGTACACTTTGTCAGATTAAGTTTATCTTCTGGCATATAATTCAGCTATTTAATTGTCCTGCTTCGGTATATTTTATAGTAATACACTTTTGGTTTTATTAATACAGGTATCAAGATACCGTCGTCGAAACGGGAAGACTGAGGTTTAAGGAAGTTTCCAAAAAATAAGTGGATTCTTCTGTAGAAAACGGGCTTGGGTGGGAGTGTGGAGCGTCGTGAAGTACCCAGCCCAAGAAGACGAGCAAGGACATTCTTCCCTGTGAAACACTCTGACTGGACAATATAAAGTTATTCCAGAGTGCTCTAAACCGGTGTGCCGGCCATCAGCCAGGCGATTTTAATCTATCAGTGCCCACGAAAAATTACCAATGTCCCTGGCTAGTCAGAGTCAGCAGTGGTATCCCACGAGTGTGCAGGTAACGGTTTTTCAGGCGAGGAACCTGCGGATCAAAGGCAAGAATGGGACCAACGACGCATATGCCATCATACAAGTCGCCAAGGACAAATTCTCCACTTCGGTGGTGGAAAAATGCGTCTCGCCCGTCTGGAAGGAGGAGGCCACCTTCGACCTGCCGCTTTTCCACCGCGGTAACGCCGATCGTTGCACGCTGTACATTATCGTCATGCACCGAGCTCTGGTAGGACTGGACAAGTTATTGGGCCAAGCAGTAATAAACCTGCTGGAGCTTCACGAGAACAAATCCCGTAACAAGACCGAGTAAGTGCTTCGTTCATCACCGTTGTTGTTGTTATTATATGGGTATATATACACACATGTCTACATATATGCACTCCCCGTATGTTAGAACTTTCGTGTCAGGTCTGATATGTTACAGAGTAACATTATTACTATACTACTACACTGCAGAGTGTCATATTAGAAGGGAGAATGTCCGCCAGTGCCCAGCCCAGACCAGGCAGCTTGGGAATCTTTCATTTCGTCAGGGCGGGTTTTGCTCTTTGTTTTCCGGCACGTTCCTTTGCTTAGTCTGCAGAGCGAAAGCAGGGGAGCGGCTCTTTCCATTAAATTACTGTTGTCACAGCGGCACGCCCACCTTGACCTCTCTGTTCAAGCATCCTGACTCCTCCGCCCTCTTCAGACTCATGAATTCCCCCCCCCCTCCAGCTGTGTGTTTGCCCTGGTGCATCCCACGTAGGAGCAGCTGCTGGGGGCCTACGGGCTCAGGAGGTCTCGAGTGACATACTTCAGCTGGAGATAAGTAGAGGGAGGGAATAGCTCAATATTCCAAATTTCTTCCCATGTATCAATAAAGACTAATACCTCTGTAAATGACTATATTGCTTAACCAACAGTATTAGCCTCACATAGAAGTCCAGGTATTAAATACAGGGTATCAGATTTTTTTTTTTTCTTTTCAATTTTAAGATGCACTTTTCAAAGAGGATGTTTAAAAATGGTTCTTCCCATGCTGTTATCTACTGACTGACTTCAGGCTTGTCCATTTATACAGTTGGACCATCAGTAAATTTTCTGTGGATGCTCCTTTAAAAAAAAAAAGAGCCTTTTCTAAAGTGTAAAGTTGAGGATGCCTTAGGATATGAAAATGATGTCCTTTAGTATTTCAAGCATTTTCTTTTTTTTGGATTGTGCGGTTTGTGTTCTAGTTCCGGTTAGTATGTCAGCTGAGGCATTCATGAAGCAACCTCTTTTTAATTTAGTATCTGCTGACATCTGTGCGTCAAATGACGATGAGTCACTCTGGGGAAAAATTCTGATTGAGTAGTAGTCTCCCTTTCAAGGTAATAATCTTGAGCTGCTCCTGCTTCCATGTTCACGGTGGCTTGCTAAAGCATTAAATTGTTTTTTTGTTGCGTGTCTGGGTGGTGCGACGCTGGGGCTGGCGTTGAAGTCTAAGATGGTCTCTGGTCATTTTTCTCTAGGTGCGACCTGTAGTCTGCCTTCTACGGCTAGGGTTCTCTTAGAGTAGCCTTCTTGGTTGGGGTCTTCTAGTGCTGGATTTGATTGAGAACACTGAGAGAAGGTGGTCTCTTGAAGCACGAGTTGCAGACCAAGGTTACTTTTCTGTATCTTATTTACCCCTTTGCCAGACAGAAACCGGTTTGCTTTGTGCTGGTTCAGTTTACTTTCCTCTTGCAGATTGCAGATGCATAGTCTTCCCTGTGGTAATAGTTGTCAGGACAGCTACTCTGTGCCAGTATAAAAAAGAATGCATTACACAAAAGGGGGGGGGGGGGTGTGCAGGGCAAACATTTTCCTAACTTGTTTTATATGTACAGATGTATGGTCGGCCAAATCGGCAACCCATCTGTCAACTTGCTTGCTAAGAATAGATCCAGGTGTTCTGTGGTCAGCATGTTATGTGGTGGATGAACTCCTTGCTTTAAAAAGCCTTTAGATAAGAAGACCTCGATCATTCCTCACACTGGGAGAAAAATTAATTAAGCAGGTATTTTTATGTCTCTTCAGCGAGGTTTGAAGCCGAATGTGGGTCAGTGACATCTGCTGTGCTACTAGTTTTTGGAGGTCTTGTAGGCCTAGTTGTCTTGCCTCGCAACCTGAGTAAAGCCCCCTGCCTTTGCTGTTTCAGGTACACCGGTCTGATCTATTTTTGCACTGTGCCCTTTCTAACGTAATTGCCATGAAGCACATGACAGCAGTCGCATAACAACAAACAAACAACGCTGAGTGACACGCAACAGTGGAGTATTGCCGTGTGACACTATCTGGGGTGTGATCAGCACTGGCAACATCCTCCCTGCCCTTCTGATGCGTCTTCTCTGCTGTCATTGGAGACGTTAGGTGGCGTAATTGTTAAAGGCTGGGACATCCCCTAGCCTGTTGTTAATCTACCCTTTATCATGTCAACGCTGAACAGTAAAACCCAGCTGCCATGTTGAGGCATCTGTGACGTAATGACTGCGTCTCACCATTTCAGTAATCTTGTTTTCTCTGGTATGTACATCGTCTCTGTACTGCCATAGCACATTCTCTTCACCCAGAACAACTTTGTCTACTTTAGCGTTCATTTTAAGCTGAACTCTGCTCATTAGGCTGTAAGGTTAAGATCAAGGAGCAGGGTTTATTTCCCAGTCAAATACACAGTAGTGTAGGATGAAATTTAGACTTGATATGGAAGTGAAAGAAATCTCATTGTAGTCATACCTTTCGTCAGCTGAAGCCTTTTTTTTTTTTTTTTGTCTGTCTGCTGAGTAATATTTTAAGAAGTACAACCAGTTCTAACAAAGAATTTGTGTTTTAGCTGAACAGGGTCATTGTTTGGGGGTGTCTGGCTGGTGAGTTTCTGCCCAGGTGGGAGAGGAGCAAAGCCACATATCAGAGTATACAGCTCGCATAGCAAACTTGTGACAGATTTGCAGGCTTGTATTCCAGGGGGTCCGGCTGATACACTGGTCAATTGTTCCCATGTAAGAAAGGGGGGGGGGGAATTCTGTGCAAGGCTATGCGTGGGGCAAAAGCTTTTACTAAAATTCTTATTTTCTATCTATTTTAATCAGTTGTCAGAGGGATGTTGATTTTCCTGCAACTAGAAAATATTTCTGCTGAATTGCATGTGGGCTTACGATCAGTTTTTGGGAGGTGAAGCGGCAGACTCAATCTTTTTTTTTTTTTTTTTTAAATTTTTTTTTTATATATATAAAAATATTTGATCTTAACTTCTTCACACATTAATGCAGCGGACCATTTTACAGTAGTAGGTCACGTTTCTTTTCAAGGAGGTTACAGCAGGACCTTAATGTTGATCTCTGTCCTTAACAGTTCTTACCTGTTGTATGGGAAGGCATGTGAGGTTCACCCACATTGTCGGTGACAGTTTTTTCTTTTTCTTTTTTTCATGATAAAAAGGCTGTTGGGTCCCTTATGGTAGCTTTCAGATTGGACAGTGTCAATTACCCAGATGTTGGCGCTGATGCTGCTGGGTCGTTTTAGACTTTATTTTGGGTAGTGTGTTGGCTTTTCATTCGATATGGATGGGTTTGGCCTTATGGCCTGTTTGCCAAGAAGCTACCGGATAGTGGTTAATGCTTATGGGTTTGACCTACCAGTGTTCCTAGTAAAGTGAGTTGTAGGTAAGCATATATCCCCCGTCTCTGCATTATGCTGTGATGTTGTCTCAGCTGTAGACCCTGTGTTCTGGAGGACCTTCCTTAACACCCCTTTTTAAAGGACCAGGAGTTGGCTGACTGGCCATCACATGCCTCCTCATCTCCATTTTTCATGGGCTCTTTGCTGTGACCTTAAATATATATTGACACCCTGACATGGAATTTGATAGGCTTTTGTGCAATTTAATATGCCAGTAATGTGATCTTCCTGGAATCCCATCCATGGTGTACCCCAGCTTTGTGCCCTGTGTTACTTGAGTTAGAAAGAAGTCAACTTTGCTGCGGTTGAAGTAAATAACAAGGTTGCCTTTTTGTACAAGGAGTGATTCCTAAAACAAAATAATTTTGCCACTGAGGGCGTTTGGTCTTTGTATAAAAAATGTTGTGCTCTTGTTTCCGTCACCCTTTGACTCTCACACCCATGCATTAACTTAGATGTTTCAGCAGGGAGTGTTCACATTACATCTTATCAATGTTCCTGGGTTGGGTATGGATACCAGAGCCAGAAGTGTTCCCTTGGTTTGTTATTCTTTAAGATGGCGTCATGAAATCCTCCCCCCCCCCTTCCATTCAACCCATTTAACAAAGATTTTGATCTTTTAATGATATGTTTGTATGTGTTGTGGTCTGGCAGTTTGTGCTGAAAAAGGAATGTCTTGTTTGTCCCCTGTCCTCCTGTTTGCAGTGCTCTGTCACTGATGGGTGCCCTTTCAGAAAGAATGACACCCAGAGGCTTTGCATATCTGCTGCTTCCTTAAGAAGTCTATTTAAAGCATGTTTTTCATAAAATCATTTGGTCCATTGACTCATGAAATGACTTGGGTTGGACTGCGTTAAATCCCTATTAACACAGCCCGTTGGGGGTGGGGTGCCCAGGTCAGGTGTAGGCACTGGCATTTCGGGAACAAAGGGCAAAAATGCCACCGTGGGCCTTTTTCCAAAACATCTGCATAGTGTATCACGAGGTCGGCCAGCATGCAAATGGGAGCCAGTCTCCTACACTGTAACCTGAATCCCCATCACCGCATGACAAACCAAGCCCAGCCCCTATGTTGCACGGCTGCAAGTTGCACGTATGCGCAGGCGAGCTGCTCCTAGTGCAGCCAATGTCCCATCTGCACCATGGCATGAGGGAGGAGTCTGCCAACTGCTTCTGACTGTACCTGTGTTATAGGCTCCCTAGTCATGATCACGGCGGCAGGTGCTGAAGATGTACCTTGTCATTAGCAACACTCTTCCTGGGTTGCCAGGTGTCGTTATTCAGTGTGTTGACACATCCTGTATATAGTTCACTGTACTTTTATTGTACATTCTCCATATCTTACAGCCTAATGTTTCTCTTCCATAAGTAACATTGTAATTTCTTTATCAGTATTTCCTAGTTCTCTCATGGGCCATTTCTGATGTGTGTATTTCATATGTCTGCCATCCAGCACGGCTGATTAATAAGCTTATAGGCCTGATTGAGTTTCATTTGGTGGCCTGGTGCTGGAATAGAATGAATACGTGGAATGGCTGCGCTTACCGGAGGTGAGGGTTAGCTGCACTTTCGCTGTGACTTTCCAGGTGGTTTTAAGGCTGATGGATGTGTTCCACGTCTTTGACGCAGTGGAAACTCTGATGTGTGGGGTTTCTTCACCCCTCCCAAATTTTAATTTCGAAGTGAGCTGTATTGAGAGGATGGAAGTTTTTTTTTTTTTTTTTTTTTTGTGTTAAAGCTGTCAATGTGCTTGTCTACATACAAATACGGATAAAATGTAATCGTATAGGGGCATTACACAGACTTGGCATTGCTGAATCTCGATGCTGTGTCTCTGTTTGTATAAAGTTCCAAACTCTTATGGACTTCGGTGTGCAAGTAAGAACGACACATTGCACCCCTGCTTTGTAAACCGCCTAGTCACTCCAGTCCTTGTATGTCCCTATTCATGTTTCTATTGTAAATCAACTGAATGGGATGTCTTTCAGTGCTGGTGGGGAAAACAGGTTGGGCAGGACAGGCAAAATGGTTTTGGGGGCATGACTGTCCCTCCCAGTAAAACTGCATGGTTTCGTGTTTCTCCAAATATGAAAACCAGTTCGCGTGCTTCTCAGAATCCTCCGTCGGCCGCAGACAGCAGGTGGTTTATGAAATGGGATTCGGTAATTTTTGCTTTTCTCTTGTGGTCTGCCCCCCAAAGACTCTGTTAGGCTAATGAGGGTGTTAATGCAATTAACCTGATTTTAAGCAGAATACGATCTTCACTTCTCCTTTCAGTTTATTTGTACTTGGTCAATTCGCAGAAAGCAGATTAACTGAATCCTCCTGAACCAGTCATGTGAAATAAGGAAATGTAAATAAGACAATGAAACGCACTATTACGGTGTAGTAATTCATATTTCTACTCTGGCTGAGTGCAGCCCTCCTCGAGTGTCCTTGACCTTTTGATAGGCTCAGCAGTAAGCATGTGACTTTCTCCCTGTGCTCCACTGTCAGTGACTGTCTAGTCCAAGGTCAGGCCTGGAGAACAGGTGCACTGCTTGCTGATGTCATCCCGTTCATCTGGATTTTGTCTTAGTCCCTGACACCTGCAGTTTTGCGAATTTTTAAGCTATGTGTTGTAAAAAAATGCTCTTTTTGCCGTAATCAGTTTTCTGTAAATCACTGGCCCATAGAAAAGTGGCTTATTAGACATTGAGTTGTGAGTTAGCAGTTATTGTAGGAAAATGCTTCTGGAGTAGTTACTTCAAAGAAATCGATGGGAAATTTTGGGAATAATGGCATATAGGGATTAATTTTAATCCTAAACTGATTGGTTTTGTATTATATCATCTGACTATTTTCTATTACATAAATTACTTAATTCACTTTCCAGTTCTTTATTTGTCTCTTGGCAATTTGTGTGATCGTCTCAGTGCTGCCCCTAATGGCAGATATAAAGAAATGCAAACAATAGCTTTAGGATAATTATAAGGTGATTCACAATCAAATTTCTCTTCCGTTCATCGTTCCATTAGCATTTGTAAGCCTTGTCCAAACTCCCAGCCCAGCGAGTAGCATGGCCAGAGTTTTCTTAGTTTTGTGACATGCGCCCTGTTCCGTATGTCACCATTTAGTCTACCTCGACACAAGTATGTAATATATGCACTGTTTTTATTTGTTAGAGTTTCTGTTACTCAAAATGAATACATGTTTTAGTCATTCTCTACCATGCTGGTGGGTAAACTGTGGTTGTTGGTATTGTGTACATTGTGGTCTGTAGCCAGGGAGAGCGGGCATGGGGGGGGGTGCAGGCTCCTCTTCACAGGTGAGTGATGCCTGAAATTCTCAGGTCAGATAGGCAAGGTGTAGAGCTGCATTTATAATGTAATGAGTACAAATGGCCGTATAGGCAGAAGCACAATAGTCCAAGATATCTTCATGTGCTCTAAGTATACTTAGTATAGTAAATGCATGATAGAATTGCTGTTTAAACATTAATTTAAATCTTATGTAAATTCTGTTTTTGTTTATTTCCTGTTTTTTAATTTCTTGCTGTAAATTGTTTTTGCCACAACATAGCAATTGTTGATTTGGCATTAAATTGAAGCCCACCACCACAGAATTGCTGTATGAAATGTGTGTGATATTTGTTTTTGTCATCTGTTTTTCTGTCTCAGAATATGGACGGTGGTATGAAAAATGTAATGCTAATTGTTTTCTTGTTTTAGGTGGTTCAAGCTGGTGGACAAAAATGGGAAGACTGATAAGGACCGAGGAGAAGTTCTGCTGGACATCCAGTTCATGAGGAACAACATCACGGCCAGCATGTTCGATCTGTCCATGCAGGAGAAGCCACGTTCGCATATCGGGAAGCTGAAGGACAAGATCCGCGGCAAGAAGAGTGGCTTCTCTGACTCCGCGTCTGCCATAGTGCCCTCAGTCTCACAGGTGATGACAGACAGCGAGGAAGATGGTGATGCCCATGCAGAACCTTCCGGAGCAAAGAAGAAGTCAAAGATAAAATCTTTGTTCGGCCCAAAGTCCAACTTGCAGCGCAACGTCTCCCAGTCAATGTCCACATTGGGTACTCTTCCTGAAAAGAACTCTGCTCTCAGTGGTAGCCGTTCATCTGGCCTCAATGTTGACTCCCCAGAAGGTGAGAAGGGCCTTCCATGATGGCTGTTCCAGCTCAGATGTTCTCCCTGTATGTATCTGACAGATGTTATGTACTGTTTCTTGCAGCCAAGAAGAAATTCAAGTTCTTGACCCACAAACGCACAGACAGCTCTGACAGCAGGACGTCACTGGGCCCCTTCTCTCTGCTGAATCGCTCCAAGCAGAATGTTGTGGAGCAGTCTGGTGTCTGTATCAATGGCAGCCATGTTTACGCTGAAGAGACGGAGCCCAAAACTTCCACACTCAGTTTACCCAACTCCAATCAAGGCTCTGCAGAAGATGTGCGCCCAGTCCTTGGCAGGAACCCGTCAGATGTGTCTGTGGACTCCCTCAAGGGCTTAAGCCTTCCCTCGTACCGAGCAGAGTCCAGACAGAAGACCCAGCTAGAAGAAGACCGTCAACAGGCTGAGAGGGTACAAGAGGAGCGTGCTCGGTTAGAGGAACAGCAGCGGAGACGGGAAGAGCAGGACAAGAGGAAATTGGAAGAGGAAAGAAGAAAACAACTGGAAGAGCAGCAGAAGAAGCAAGAGGAGGAGGAGAGGAGGAAGCAGGAGGAGGCCAGACGAGCTGAGGAGCGCAGGCGGCAGGAGGATGTAAAGAAATCTGTGGAAGCCAGCAACCGAGAAGAGCCCACGGTGACCGACAGGCTGTCATCTCTGTTTGGCATCGGGAGAAAGAAGGAAGAGCATCCTGCTGCATCCCAGGAAGAAAAACGTGGTGTCGAAGATCCCCCAGCGCCAGGCTCAACCAATCCCTTTGAAGAGATCCCACTTAGTCCGGAGCCCCAAAACCCCTTTGGGGAGAGCTCTCCGCAAGCCTCGCAAAGCCTCCAGAACTCCACAGGCTTCCCAAACCGCACAGCCAAGGTGTTTCCAGTCAAGCCAAGGTCAGTGCCCAGTGGCAGGGCTTTTTTCTCTACCAGTCGCATTTCAAATCCACCTGCTGCAGGGTCAGTAGCATGAGCTGCCAGTTTCTGTTGAAAGTGTTAGAGAAGAGCCAGTTACTTCATGTGGCCAAACTTGGCCCTCACTGGGTTTGCTCCATCATGGCTGGGATGCAGTGTGCACCAGTGACGAAGGCATCAGGTGCCACTGACCATTGGTCATGTGTTTCTAAGGTTTTCTTCTTCCTCCCTCTCACTGTTCTGATGTATTTGGGTTCTAGATGGCATGTATTGATGTACATAGATAAATATTTTCCAAATGGAGGATTGAATGTAAAAAAGAAAATAAATAGTACAAAATTGGATCATCTTATAGATGTTTATTGATTGCTAATCAGAGGTTAATCAGGATACAATATTTCTTGCTTTAAGCCATCTAGAACCCATTCTAAACGATACAAAACTAAAAATATGGTTCTGTTGGTGGTTCAACAAAATATACCTTGATCCCTGGCATCATCTATAAGCCTCTGCTCTACTGGATGGAAAATCTTTATGGTGGGAATGGATGTTACCCTCTAATCTAAAAGTGACACATCCATCCAAAGTAAAACATTAACTGAAAATATGGAAAATTAGTGCATATCATTGTTTGTGTGTTGCCAAAGCTTATGTGTGATAATTTCTCCCTACACTGTTAGTGGCATTCATGCTGGTGGAGTTTTTCAGAAATATCTTTTCAACCATATAAAATTTAAAATTGCTTCTGGGACTCTTAAATATTTCCAATAGTTTGGGGAGGAATGTAATCTACCTGATGCATTGTTCTAGTTGTGCTCTACTTGTCTGGCAAATTTGGCCTTGTGATTGGTAGTTCCTGCTTGCAAATTTAGTGGGTGTGTTCACTGCGGTGGTATGGTGTCAGACAGGTTGTGTAGCAGCGAGAAACTTTGTTTGTAGTCACTAAGAGGTAGTTTGTGCGTGAGTCAGTGGAGAGTCTGCTCCTTTGAAGGGATTTGTTTTGATGATGATCTTTGTGAAATTAACTTATGAACACTGCTGCATTCTAATGGTGAGTGAGACCTGATGCTTCTGTTATAAGGGGTTTTTGTATGAAAGAGCTGAGGAACAGTTTCTTACCGAAATGTGAGGCAAGCTTAGGGGTGCACTGAGTATTGCTTTGCTCTTTGGCTGGCATCTACTTGAAATGCATGGAATGTTTTGGAGCTATGAAAAGTTGAATCTTGCTATTTGCAAGATTCTCTAACAGGAGTGTTCTTACTCTAGGAGCTTTACTATGTTATCAATGCTATTGTTACTATACTAAATTGTTTTTGCAAAGCAGTTGTGGTCTTTGTAGAGAGAGATTTAAGGAAAAGTACATAAGTCTTGTATGGGGTATGACATATTTATGGGTCATGCTTATTTAAATTATTTAAAATGTATTAACTTTTGAATCCAGATGCTACTGATTTGTAGCTTGCTAGTCTGCATATTATGCTTTGGTTCTTGATGCTTCAAATGCTCAGTGCCCTGATGGGTCATGCTGTTTTGGAAGGGCCAACTTACCGATCTCTGAGTTTTTTTGTGTTTTTTACTTCCTGGCAGATTTGTTGCTGAAAGTATTCAGGGCACGCCCCCTTTCCCATCAGCAGACCCCTACATCGAGTCCCATCTTCCCTCCTCATCCACCCTTAACTCCACCAACCCTACTCTCCCCTCTGAGTCCTCTGACATGTTTTCCACCCTGCATTCCTCCCTTGCTCCTCCAAATGCCAGGAGAGGTTCGTCTGATTCTCTCACCAGCATTAATGAGATCCTAGACACTGAGTCCCACGGAACTTCCACCAGCCAAAAACGGCAAGCTCCTCTCCTCCCTGGTCAAAAGGCCTCTGCAAAACATGAGGTTTCCCCATCTTTGTATAGTGACAGATCTCAAAGCACAGAGGCAGGAAAACCTAAAGCTGCCCCAAGAAGCCTGTCTTCTAAAACGGCTGCTACAAGTGGGTATTTAAACCCTATTGCAGAAGTTTCTGATTCTAAAGAAAAAGAATCCTCCGCATTCCAAAGTGACAAAAGGCCACCCCTCCCACTTCCAGATTATGAAAAGCTTTTCCCAAAGAAAAGACATGGCATTCAGGGACAGGTTAAGTGGGACAAGGTGATTTCAGAGGTCAATCTGAAGCAGAAAAAGAATAGAACTGATATTGACCAAAATGAAATGAGTATAGATGGGCCTGACTTGAATAGCGGAAGCATACAAGTGCAGGATGAAAAACCAGACATTTTTAGTAGGATGACAGAAAACCAGGACCAAGAAGAACCATTTCCGGTGTGGAAGAGGACATCAATAACTAATAAAAGGCCAGTTGTCCCTCCTAAGCCCAAACTTGTAACTCCACCAGGTTCAATGACCGAAAAACCAAACCGATTTGCATCTAGAGTCTTTTTGACAGCAACACCAAAGGTCCAAAACATGGATGCCCCACAGGCAAAGTCCCGTATTCTTCTGGACCGTGAGACGAAGGTGCAGAACACTGATGATGGTAAAGGAAAAGACAACTCGCCAAAGGACATGCAGAATTCCACAATAGTGGTCAGCAAGGATGTTGTATCTCAAGGTGACACCAAAACACCTTTTAAAAGTTCTGAAGATAGTTCTCCTGTCGAACCCAGACAAAGTTCTCTGAATAAAGCTCCAATCAGAAATGCCTCAAATCAAGAAACTCTTGGCTCAGTGGTGATTCAGAAACCCCAAAATGAGGCTAAAGACACTAAGGTACTAGAGAAGGTATCTGGAACTAAGGAAATCGATGAAGTATTCATGACTACAAATAATGCTGACCTGTTTTCTGGTAGCATATTTCTGAAGACCCCCACTGTGACAAAGCCAGATCTTGAAGAAAAAGCTGTTCAGTCCCCTGCTAAACAGCTGGTAGTTGAACCAGACCCATTCCCGAATAACTTATTCCTTTCTAAGGATCTGGTGGTGGACAAGAGTGCTGAATTTCAGGGTGACACCAAAACACCTGTCAAGAGTACCAAAGAGAGTCCTATCAAACCCAGACAAAGTTCTCTGAATAAAGCTCCAATCAGAACCATCCCAGTTCAGGAAAAGCTTGGCTCAATGGTGACCCAGAAGCCCCAAAATGAAGCTAAGGACACTCCGATGCTAGAGGAAGTACCTGGAACTGAAGAAGTCAATGAAGTATCTATGACTACAAACAACGCTGACCTGTTTTCTGGTAGCATATTTCTGAAGACCCCCACTGTGACAAAGCCAGATTTTAAAGAAAGAGCTGTCGAGAACTCACCTGTTAAAGAGCAGGTAGTAGAACTGGACTCATCCCCAAATGATTTATTCCTTTCTAAGGATCCAGTTTTGGTCAAGGATGCTGAATCTCAGGGTGACACCAAAACACCTGTCAAGAGTATCAAAGAGAGTCCTCCTGTCAAACCCAGACAAAGTTCTCTGAATAAAGCTCCAATCAGAACCATCCCAGTTCAGGAAAAGCTTGGCTCAATGGTGACCCAGAAACCCCAAAATGAGGCTAAAGACACTAAGGTATTAGAGAAGGTATCTGGAACTAAGGAAATCGATGAAGTATTCATGACTTCAAATAATGCTGACCTGTTTTCTGGTAGCATATTTCTGAAGACCTCCACTGTGACAAAGCCAGATCTTGAAGAAAAAGCTGTTCAGTCCCCTGCTAAACAGCTGGTAGTTGAACCAGATCCATTCCCGAATAACTTATTCCTTTCTAAGGATCTGGTGATGGACAAGAATGCTGAATCTCAGGATGATGCCAAAACCCCTGTCAAGAGTACAGAAGAGAGTCCTTCTATCAAACCCAGACAAAGATCTCTGAATAAAGCTCCAATCAGAACCATCCCAGTTCAGGAAAAGCTTGGCTCAATGGTGACCCAGAAACCACAAAATGAAGCTAAGGACTCTAAAATACTAGAGAAGGTGTCAGGTAGTGAAGAAATCAATGAAGAATCCACAACTATGACAAAAGGCACGGACTTGTTTTCTGATAGCATATTTGTGAAGACTAATGTGTCGAAGCTAGGTTGTGAAGAAAAAGCTGAAGAGTCACCTGCTAAATGGCCAATAGTTGAACCAGACCCATTCCCAAATGATGTATTCCTCTCTAAGGATCCCTGGGCCTTACCACTGGAGTCAAAGAATAAGTCTGAGCAAAGAATGTCTGAGGAAGACTTGGAAAAAATATTTTCCAGCAACGAAGTTGACCCATTTACAGGTTTTGTTCATAATGAATCTGCAAAATTTCCTGAACCTAAGATTGAGATGACTGGGAAAACTAATGCTGAGCAGAGTTCTGGTGCCCAAAGCGATTCTTTTACAAAGAAAAAGGCTCCACCAGTACCTGTAAATGCAGCTAATGCAGACAAAATTACAACAGAGCATCTGTTCAAACTCAAACCTAAGGTGACTACGTTGAGTACAGGGGAACCGAAGATGGAAACTCATATCCAAAATCTAGGCAGTCCAGCCAAGAGAGAGAGTGCCGTTTTCCAGAGCAAAAAAACACTGGTGGCCGCTAACCCCATTCCCTCAGCTTCTTCCCCTGTGTTCTCCTCTCTGATTTCCCCTGAGCCCCAAATGTCTGCAACAGAAGAGGGCACTGCTCAGCATGGTGTCACCTCTGGTGGAAAAACCCTACTGCGGGCCTGGGTAACGCCCTCCGAGTCACAGTCAGTCTCTGTCCAGAATAGCAGCGGAGGTGGAGCAATAGGGAAAATGGGCGAGCCAGCCTCAAGCCTACGCAGGTGAGACAATCTCTGACCCTTGAGTTTTGTCTTGCCTGTGGAGCAACTTCCTTTTTGAGTGATCTGGAAGGTTAGCAGGTGGCCGCTGTATCTGTGCATTATCTGAATGTGCAGCGCACAAGGATTCTGTAATGGCAGTGTGTTTCGATGTAAGGAGGAGTATTGTTGGTTTTATTTTCAGTCTTTTCTTTCCTGAGTCCAAAGCTTCCAATTTCATCCAAAGACCAACTGTATGGAATCAAACTTCAGGCAAATTTTTTTTTATGTAAAGCTCCAAGTTTTAAAATCTGAAGCTGACAATCCTGCTTTATTCTTTGATTTATAATTCTGCTTGATAGTCAACAGAATGCCAACCAGCTCTTCTGAATTGTGTGGGTTCACTTCTATATGGCCTCATTTAGCTGTTAAAGCACAATTCATGTAAATGTGGAAAGAGCTGTTTTGTGTGTGTCCTTAAAGTAATAAGAAGTCACCCAACAATGCTAAAGTACAAGTGTAAGTACTTTTGTAAGCTGAGGTTTGTGGTCCTTAACAGTCCTTGAGTCCCCCCACCCTTCTCTCTTAACTAGGAATCTTGGCATTAATTTTGAGTCCTCTACTTGGAGGAGTTGGCCACGCTCTTCAAACTTGTGTTTTAATCTTGTTGCTTGAACACTGGAGTAGACTTGCACTGTATGTTGTCCTGAAGACTGTCAACTACCATCAGCTTGGAAAGAAACGAATGAACATGCTGTGCTACAGGAAGGCATTTAGAATCTTGTTGTTCCATTGCCGTTTCACATTTAAGTTTAATTTATGTCAGCAATTTGGGGGTGTTCCTGAATAATTTGTACGTTTCTGTACAATCCTCCGTTTCTTGTTATGCAGGATCTATTTAAGCTGATGTAGAAACTTCCATTCACACTTTCCAACCTTTGCAATAATTTCCCACAAGTTTCAGGGCCGCTTGGCAAAACACACACAGCTGTATATGGTACATTTAGCATGTGACATAAATCAATGAGTTTCATCCATAAAGTTTTGAGAATACCAATTACCAGCCTGTAGTTTCAACAAGCTTGGAACTACAAACTTTTTTTGTGCTCGTGGTTAACTTGATATGGTTGGTTTGGTTGCATCATGTACACTGACCCTGTTGGGAGGAAAATGTGATTGATGTTCCTTGTTTCACCTTTGTTAGTTTCTTGTTAATTTGAACCTGCAAATCCGGTTTGTCTTCTCAGGCCACACCCTGTAAAGCCCTTGGGCTCCGAGAGCCTGATCTCCGCAAGCACTGTGCAAGGGCGAGACAGCAAGCCAACCGAGACCCATGAGCCGGTTCTGAGAAAGCCAAAGGTATTTGGTCACACATCTGCCTTGGGTGCTAGACCATGCCTTTTTGAAATTAATCTTAGGAAAGGTTTAGCAGAGCATGTCTGGATCAGAGAAATCAACATGAGCTTGTAAATTCACAATTTTTTATAGACTCTCTTCAGTAATGCATGTAAGCTGGTGTTAAGGTATTCAATCATGTTGTATATTTATTCAGCCAGTTATTCATGTGGGATTTGTTTCAGAACTTGGAGTCTTATAAATTTTTGAGCAATGATCTTTTCTGTGTGGGCGTCTCACTGCTGTGGTCCCCAGTTTCAGTTAAATGGTCCATTTTCCAGGTGATCGCCTCTGAGAGTGGCCCCTACTCTCAGCTAACCCAGGAGGAACTGATCACTCTTGTGGTGAAGCAGCAGGCCGAGATCAGCAAGAAGGACGCGAAGATCCTGGAACTGGAGGAGTACATCGACAACCTCCTCGTCCGAGTCATCGATGAGAAGCCCAGCATCTTGATGTCCATGCCAACCTCCAAAAAGGCTTTCTAGTAGCCGTAGTGTCAAGGGTGGGGGAGAAAAAGGGCTTCCACTAAATCCGTCACTGCTGTGCATCAGGGTGTCTGGTCCTTCCCCTGGTGTTTGTAACAGTCCCTCGTTTCCCACTACAGGTCTGTCCCGGAGTATGTGCACTTTATCACAGGGAGAGATGGTTTTGCTGACTCTAAATGGTGTTAAATGAAGGAGGAACTAAAATGGCACTAAATGCTGATTAGAAGTAACAGGTGGTGTCTAGGAATCACTACGGAAATGAACGAAGCAGTGTGGCAGAGCTGCTCTGTTACATACCTCTTCATACCTGTGCTGCGTGTCAGCCAACACCGGAAAACGGGCGTCGATGTACTGTGATGTCATTTTTGACGTATCGACTTTGAAGGTGCCGAAGATTCCTCCAGCATTACCGTGACACCTTAGCAAGCTGTGAGGTTCCGAAAGGTTGTCATGCTGCACGCTCATGGCATTTTTCTTTTATTCTTTTAAAAGGACTCTGACGTAGTATCTTCTCACTTCATATGCTGTAATGAAATCATTAAGCTGCTATGCGATCTTAAATCACTTTAAACGTACGAGGTCTCTTAAATCACTTTAAATACAGATTAGCGGTGTAAATGAGTTATTGATTTTGGGTGCTGTTCTGATTCTGAAGATTATCCCATTCGTCTACCTTGAGCCTGCGTAGTGCGAGAACTGAGAACTTAAGTAGATTAATTTTGCTACACATAGTAACACATGGCGGTGTCATACCACACAGTTTTATGTTCGTCTGTCATGGGCAGTCATTAGCCTTGGGGCTTCTTAGATTCATTGTATTCCGCACTGTATTTATCAAGCAGTTTAGGATGAATGTATTTAACGCTTGTGTCCCTAGCCTGAGTGCTTTGTAGAGATTCCCCTTGTGGTCATGCAAGGTATGACAGCTGAATTTACCCATGGGTCTCACGAAATCATGCTTGTTGATGTCTCCCTGTTGCCACCGATGCATTGCCTGGCGGGATGGTGAGTAGGATGTCTGTCATTACCCCACCCGCCCTGTGCTTTGAATAATTAAAAGCAACACTAAGAGAATGAAGGATGTTGACCAGTAACCTGAAAGTCTCAGATTTTCTTGTGACTTGTCATTTTGGTGGAGCAGCTTTGAGAAGGATCAGGCTGTTAGTAAAACTTTAATTTATTGAAGGTCAGTTATCTACGAGTCTCTTCTTTGTACTCTTCTAAATAATGAAAATTCTAACTTTAAATGGCGTGGCAGAGTTTGTTGTACAGTTTATAAGGTTGGGAATAGCTGTAGGGCGAAACTGAGTTAGAAGGCGGTACGTCTCATGCATATACACACTGCTGTCCTCTTAATCAGCAATACACACCTCACGATGTCCCCAAACACTTCCTGATTCCCTTGAATCAGGTAGTGCTTCAACAGTCGGCCCACACTGACTTGAATTTTCAATGAATTCAATTATCACAAAGACTGGGGTGAGCATTTTTATATTGAATAAATTTTTGATCTTATCTGCTGCTATATGTTTTCAGGGTTTAAATCTCATTCTGCATTTGTTTGTTTTAAAGTTTGTCGGTCCACCGTGGTGTGCCTTATATGGAAGCTTGTCATAGCAATGAGGACATCAAAACTTTTTTTTTTTTTCTTTTCTTAGACACCCGTGCCTTGGTATTGGCTACTTTTCCCCTTTTTCTCATTGGCTGTTTGGGTTTTCTTTAAGGAGACCAGTTCCTTCTATGTCTGGAGGCTTATGAGACAAATTCACAGAATTTTTCTGGGCGTTTGTGTTGCATTGAAGCAATTTTCCTTCCTATGTTAATGATTTTACTTTTAATGATTTGTAGGTATTCCAAAAAGTGTTTTTTTTCTGCACTGCTGGAATTGCAGTTGTGCTTTGCTGTCTTAATTTACAGCAGTAAATATTTGTAAACATATTAAAACTGGCTCTTCCATATAAAACAAATAAAACTATATTGCAAAAGGTCTTTGTTTTTAACCAATTTTTTTGTTACTTCAATCTGTCTGCGTGTGACACATCATGACATTTCCATTCACCCGCCTCCCAACCTTGTGTCCAATAGAAGGTGCCAGTGAGCAGGGACACCCTGGATGGTATCACAGAATTCTACTTGTTTACTAAATCCAGTAAGACTTGGTCCTCACTGTCATCTTTGCTGTATTGCCCTACTTTTCCCCTCCTGAAAGTTCAATTATGTGTAGCAAGGTTACGTTACGCAAAGTACTTCTTTCCCTGGGGTGGTGCTGTCGGTCCAGGACTCATTTCCATTTCTGTATTAGTGGTGCAATTTTTAGAACCTTGTTAGGGATATGTTGTACTAGTCCTAAAACTCTTAACTGTAATACCACGGAAGTCCAACTTTCTGCTCTAATTACATTTTCCTCAAAGTACTCTTTTTCTTCTTTCTTTTAAACAGCTCCTGCTTTCCTTCTCCTACCTGTTTGACTTTAGATCCGTTGCTTCTGACTCCCACTGAGCGTTTGTGAAGCTTCATTCTGCCAGTTGTTGATTATTTCCTCCCAGTTCCAGTTACTTCATCATGCTGCCTGGCAGTTACAGTGTATCGTTACCGTCACGAAGCGTTTCCCTTAGATGGCTGTTTGCCCGCCTTTGTAGTCTGTTATGAAGCTGTATGGAAGGCTAGATCCAGAAGAGAAGCATTTTAATAGCGTGATAGCAAAGCATAGAAGGGCTTCAACTGTGAAGTAGTTAACAAGAGGACCTGTTTTTTTTCTATGATATACAGAGACCAGTTTTATTACTTAAAATACTTTTTCATGCTGCCATATTTGAGGTTAACGGCTCGTGGGGGGGGGGAAACACAAGTTTGTTTCAAGTCAGAATCTTCTGTAACAGTGATTCTCAACCCATGGGTTGTGAGGAAATGTAAGCATTTTAAAACTGGCAAGCTTCTGTGCTGATCCACGATCAGATTTCCCAGCCCCAATCCTAGAATTAATCAATTCAAAAGTGTCTTGGTTCTGCAAATGCTTAGTGCAAAACTAGTGAACACTCAAGCCGAACCAGAGATGCTTAATTTAAAATATACTGGCACATCCAATCAGATTTGTGGATTGGCAGTGATTGGTGTAAATTGCAGAGTGACTGCGTGCTTGACCATGGTGTTAATTTAAACCTATACCTGACAAAGGGTCTAGAGCTGCAATTAACGACTATTTTGATAATCGATTAATCTGATTCCCCTCCCCCCCCCCCTTTTCCCCCTCGATTGATCGATTATTAATCGGGGGAGGGGAGACAAAAACCAGTTCGATTTCCAGCATTTCTTAATAACCCAAACTGTCTATGTACAAAGGTTATTTCCAGCAACTCACAGAAAAATAAATGTATGCTACATTAAGAGTACAAAAAAATTATTTTGTAGCAGCTGAATCAATGTAATGGAAAAACACAATCTTGAAAAAAAAGTGCAACCAGCATGGCGCTTTAGATAATGTATTCAGTACTCCAGTTTTTTTAATGTAAAATCAGACTACCGCTGCTGCTACTAAGAATAATATTAAATAATTATTTTATGTTATTTAATGTTGATATACCTATGTGACGGGGGGAGAGAGCACGTGGGCGAGTGTGTCTGCATTTATTACGGACAAACAAAGTAAACATTTATTTTATTTACGCTAAAAATGCGCCGGCTTGTGCTCTAGTCAAACGCCATAGACTTTAGTGACTGAACGGCGCAAGTAAGGCGATTAGTGAGGAAAAACCCGTGAACGGCAGGCGGCAAATTTCGTTTTAAAACGTGTCCGATTGTGTGCGCATACTACAGTGATGAACTGTAAACAAGATAAATAACATAAGGCTATTTAGTTTAATAAAATGACAAGATTTAGACCTGGTATTCTATAGGAAAGGTAGCCTTAAATGACTTCCGTTGTGATCTGTGAGGGAATAATTTTATAAGGGGAAACAAAGGGAATGATTCTATAAGGCTGTAACTAATCAAAACGAGAACTGACTGGCGCGCCGGCAAGGCAAGGCTACCTAATCGGAACAGATAGGGGGGGGGGCGACAGAGAATATCAGCGGCCCCTACCCACATTTGATAACAGCCGATTGTGTTGACATCTTTCCCAGACAACCACGACTTCACTTGTGTTCGTGTGCGCACGTGTGCTTGTGCGAAGGGGCGGGGCTATATGCACAGCAGTAAAAACGGTGGGTAACTATTCATATCCTTAACATTAGTGATCTCAAAAAAGGTGCGTAAACGCTGTTTTGTAAATTTAAAAGGTGCGTAAACGGCGTTTATATTCATTTACCCTCCACTACACCACTGAATGATTTGCGTTAATTAATCTGGATAATTGCATAAAATAATCCAAAAACTCCACAACGTCACATAATACATCGCGGTGTGTTACACCGACATAATTTCAGCTAATTATCGTCAAATACTACCGTTAATGGCAGAATTACAACACTACTCTGCTGTGTCCGCCTCCGCCATTTTTCAATTTCCCCCCCCCCCCAAATCTTCCAGAATTCATCACGCAAGGTACTTAAGATTAAATGGTTGGCACAGTTTTGATAGAGGTATACAGTTACCTTTCTTTGGCATCAAACGATCCAATTGCGTTCTTGCTGATAATATTCCCATGGAGTTGGACATATATGTGCAAGAACTGCAGGGTTCAGCTCTGCAGGCCTGGTGCTCAATACCTGGCTATTAAATATTAGAAAGGCATTACTGTAAATGCTGTGCAAGAGAAGTCCTCCTTTTGGAGGGTGACTATTATCCAGTGGAGTTCACTCTTGAGGACAATTTGTTGATCTCTAGTGTCAAAGCAATTCCTCAATTAAAGTAACACTATCCTCCAGTTAGAGGAGAGGAGGAAGTCGGTGAGTAATTTCACAAGAGCAGTTTCAATGCTTTGGTTTTTATCTCAGCTCAGACTAATTTCCATGGTCTAAGAGAGCATGCAGCACATCTCCGTGCTTCAATTAGGTTTGCAATAGGCATGTGGCTAAACAAACCATTAGTATATAGTTCACATGTCTTGAATAGGAGCTAGATACCAGGATCTTGAGAACACATGTTGAAGGTTATAGTGTCTAAAATGGGATTGCAAGCTTTATGCATAAGCTCTTATTGACAACGTGGTATGGAACAAGGGCGTAGATTTGGGTAGTACCGTGTGTGTTTGGGGGATGGGAGGTTCGATGCTGATTTGGTCCTTACCAATGTTAAAACCACGTCTATGACCTTGGTGTGCAATCAAATAAATGACTGGGTGATTTAAATCACTAGATTTCGTTTAATCAAATTAGTTGGCCCTATAAACAAATGCACGTGTTGCAGTAACTGTAGACATCTCGCAGATACTCCGCTTCAGTTGGGTGCCATATTGCATATCTAATCTTAGATTTCATTTTAGGAATCAGTAGTTTGTTGGTTATTTATTACATGACTCCAATCCAGGTCAGCAACTTTACAAGTTTCTTTAGTCAATTTTTTAACCTCGTCATAATGGGGTGCTGCCTTGAAGTTTACCGGTCTGTCTTTCCAAGCAAAATGCAATACCTCTAAATTAAATGGAGTGCAATTTTGTGTTATAACCTTCAGAAAGTCTGCTATAATACCACAGAGTTTAACGGGAGCAAAGGGGGGCTATAATTTGTTTAACGTTTTTTTATCGAGGGGAACATGGCCAGTAGGGGTGGAGGCAGCTAGGATAGCGTCCGTGAAGTTTGTGAGAATAGTGGCGGTCAGACAGGTGGCTCAAAATAACGCCCCCCCCCCCCTTTCCCCTCATTTCCACTAGGCAGGTCAATTCCACAACTGCTATAAAAGAATGATCAGATAGAACAGGGCTTAGGACAGAGTGATGAGGACAATACATATGAGCTGTATTTTGGATAAAAACAGCAGATGCAAGAACATTTCTAATTACATCCTTTTGGTGTCGACTTGTACTATTTTTATTTTACAGTTCCTCGGGTGCCCAGCATCACAGATTGTACAGTCCTTGCAGTGTATTCAAGGGGCCCTGAAAGATAGGATTTCAGTATCATTATGATTTGCAGAAAGTCCTGCGGTATCCGTGACCATGGCAACATTTTTTCCTTTGCCGGTGTTTTATTGTCCTTTCTGCATTTAACAAGCATCACAAAACATTGCATTACGAAACCTTACAAAAATCCCAAGTACCTCCATCATTTGGTGAAATTTCTAGGGTCAGGGAATTCTTAGTCTTAGAGCAAATTTGATGCAAGTGCCATTATCAATTTACTGATATGATTTCACAGCACGTTAAACTGATATGCTTTTGCCGCTGAAGTTTTAATGTGTGGGGGTGTATGGGTGTTCTTCATTTAAGGACAAGAGGATCTGGGTCACATTTCCATTCCTAGCTGTACTGTTCCCTGTCTGTTGTTTATGAGTGTAAGTGCGTGTTTTTAAGTAAATCTTTATGTTTTCCCAGCAGTGACCCAGGAACTGCGGGTAAGAAATCAACAAATGCAAATGTTTACTGGCCGGAAAAGGTGTCTCGTGGCTCTGCTTTGAAAATTTTAGCTTCCTGCTTTTGTTCCCCAAGCCATTAGGAGGGAAAGTGAAAGGGGAAAAAAAATCCAAACAAATTTAATTAAAGCAATTCATTAGGTTTCTCAAAAATGGAAGTGCTGTCCTGGAATGAAAACCTATAAACTCTTTTATAAATAGCCTTACATAATTTGTTTTTTTATGAATTTGATTTCATATAATTCACTAATTAGCCTTTTTCATACTCCTGTTTGCAATGGAATATATTTAAGCCAAATGAATCCCAAATGAAAAGAGAGGTGTGCAGTGCAGTGGCATGAAGAACAATATTTGTGATGCATTGTCACAGAACGGCAAATAACACAAAGCAATAACGTTAAAATGCAAATCAGAGAAGAGCTTTATCCAATCAAAATGTTTTCAAGGAGGAACAAAAACAAAAACCTTTATTCACTTAATGTTATTGTTAAATCCATCAGTTCTTTTGTGGGCTGGTCACTGTTTGAACTATAGATTCCAGATCAAAGCTTGCAAATCTGTGCTCTGAAATGTTATGTACGGATTGCTTTAAAAATACTCTGGGTGTCGAAGACAGATAAATAATAGAAATGGCAGGCCGTTATTGTGAATTTTGACTCATTTGTTATGAATTTGCTCTACCCCAGTCATACACTCTGCAGATGCCTGTGGAAGTATGTTCACTCACTGATACTGTTACCCAAGGCAACGTTCATCCATCAATATGGATAAATACAGATGGTCAAGCACAGGCAGTCCTCGGTTGAAGAATGTCCGACTTACAGATAACTCGTACTTACGAATGGAGTGCCATAAAGCATATTAAAAATTTGGGTTAAATACAGTGGTTCATAATAACAAACACTACTTTGTCATATTCATAACACACGGCTTCAGTGGTTCTTTGGCTCTGTACCGCATGTATTATTGTTTTTCTGACTTACCTACTAATTGGACTTAAAGACAGACTTAGGGGCCGGATCCCGTTTGAAACCTGGTGACTGCCTGTACTTTTCTCAGAGGCAGGACAGCAAAACTCCTTTAGGCAGTTGAATCAGTAACTGCTGAACCACTTGCTGTCATCAGCGTTCTGCATTCCGAGGTCTTGACCCTGTGTGCCTTGGATTGGTATCTCTTACTAACAGACTGTCCCTCCTCAGTCCACACCATGTCTAGAGATGATGTCAGCAGGGCTGGCCCAACGCTTTTTGGGAGTTTAAGCAAAATTTCATGAACTAGTATTAACTAGTTGTCATTTGTCATCTTCCTGTTTTGCAAGGGAGGGTCAGAATGCGGCACCAGCTGACCAACCAAACAGGACGGCTAGTACAAGGTGCCATCTGCCTATAGGATTTTTGATGCCCGTTGTTCTTAGATATGATGTCTGGCAGGAAGTGACATCATACACACAATTTCAGCATCGCTTTGGAATGCCGTCAGGGCGACACTAAGTCGCTAATTAGCCAGAGACGGGCTTATCTCGGTGAATTTGTTTTGGCTACCCCCCTGGTGCCCTCTCACAGCACCATGCTGGCGGCGGGGCAGTTGGCGGCGGGCACGCCGATGCGGCGGTGGCACGAGAACATCCTGTGCAGCTCGGCGCGGAAGCGGTCATGCAGCCAGGCGTACAGGAAGGGGTTGCAGCATGAGGAGCTCATGGCGCACAGGTGGCACAGCAGCTGAATGAGCAGGAAGTAGCGTTTGTGGATCAGATCGATGTCGATGTCGCGCAGCACGTTGAACACGTGGATGGGCAGCCAGCACACGGCGAAGGCCACCACCACCAGTACCACCAGCCGGAAGGTCTTGCGCTTGCGCGCCCGCTGCGCCTCTGCCTGGCTCTGCGTCTGGTGGCCCGGCGCCACGCAGTTGCGCAGCTTGACAGAGATGCACAGGTATGAAATGCAGAGCGCAGAGAGCGGCAGCACGTAGGTGATGAGCAGCGTGCTGTAGGCGTAGGCCAGCCGCTGGCGCTCCTGGCCCATCCAGAACTCCTCGCAGATGGTGAAGCCCTCCTCACGGAACTCCACGTGGTAGGTGTGGGCCACGGCCGGAGCCACCAGCCCGCATGACAGCAGCCAGATGCCCAGGAGCACGTGGACGCATGCTGGCACGGAGATGCGCTTCTTCAGGGGGTGCACAGTGGCATAGTACCTGGATGGAGGGGGAGGGGGAGATGGAGAGGGAGGAGGAAAGAGTCAGAGCGACCAGGGGTGTTAGTTCTGCACCCATCTTGCACCCCTTAATGTCCTAAAGCGAGCTGGAGATGTGAAGCTCCTCCACAGATATTTTCGGCCTATGTGTTTGTAGAGGAGGAAGGCTTTTGAAACTAAAAGGAAATCAAATTTAAATCGGCATTCAGTCTTTTCAGAACCTCACTGGTGCTCTCAGCTGCAAGCCTTTGGGATTAGAAAGAGGGGCCTTTGAGTAATATCACAGATGATGAATGCTCATACTAATGAATAGACCTCATTAAAATATTTTCAGAGCAAAAATCCTATCCCACAACCTTGATGTTTCATTTTGTTTTAAATGAGTTTCTGTCTTGGGTGTCGTTGGGGAACGGGCTTGGTGCTGCTGCGTCACTGAATGAGATCTGGGCTGGATCCCCCAATTTTTTAGTAACAAATAATGATAACAGGCCATTGAGCTCAACATGACATGCGCCTTTGTGGCAACGTTTTGATTCAGAAAAATATCTGCCAGTGGAGAACGCAGCGGTACGTCACCCCTGTAATCCCTGGTGTTTGACTTTATGGTAAACTGTACTTGTGGCTTAGAACATTGAAGAATGTCTTATTTTGTATGCTCAAATTACATCTAAACTTCCTGTTCCCCGTCTCTGAATAGGATTTACACCTGGCATTTTTCCTCAATGGATTCAACTCATTCAGGATCATTTTAATAACAATTATACGCAATATGTAAATGTGGACCCTCTGGTAGTTTAGACCACATACGTCCCTGGCATTCTGAGTCACTCAGTGCCGAGCCTGTATAGCGCCCTACACACCTGTCGACGGCGATGGCGGTGAGTGTGAAGACGGACACGTAGACGGTGATGGGCTGGATGAGGAACACCAGGTAGCACATAAAGCGGCCAAAGATCCAGCCGCGAGGGTTGAAGGCGTACGCCAGCGTGAAGGGCACGCAGGTGGCACACATGAGCATGTCGGAGAAGGCCAGGTTGCCGATGAAGAAGTTGGTGACGTTGTGCATCTTGCGGGCGCGGCAGATGACATAAAGCAGCAGATAGTTGCCGAACACCCCGATCAGAACTACTAGGGCGTAACACGGGATGATGACCCCCTTGAAGGACTGCAGGAGCTCCACGCCTGCAAACTGGGAGCCGCGACTGGCTGAGCCGTTCTGCACCGCTACCTCGAAGACCTGCCCGGTGCCATTCTCCTGGCCACAGGGGGGTGCCAACACTGTCGGCCAGCTGGCACCACCGGCCTCCATCTCAGCTGGCAAAGGATGAGGAAGTTCTCCCCAGGTACGTCGTGCTGGATACAACTGGAAATGATGCAGTCAGTGTTGACGTCCTCATGCTTAACAACACAAGTGAGAAACAAATTCACTTTGGACCAATAGCATCTCTGATTCATTGTGCCGCCAATAAATGTTCTACATTCACATTTATTTGCATATCACATTTTACACAATTCTTATGTTTTCAGCTATAATTCTCTTGAAGCTGCCCCAGCTTGTACTCTGTACCGCACAGCAAGCTGGCCGTGAAGGGCAGCCACCCATATCAGCACCCAGGGGGCTGTGGGTTAAGGGCCTTGCTGAAGGACCCACGGATGTGCCCAGGCTGGGCTTGAACCGGCAACCTTCCTATCACAGGCACAGAGACTTACCCCACCAGCCCACAAGCTAAAAGTCTGTGTAAAAGAGTCATATGAATCTGGGATGAACAGATGTGAGATTGGGTAGTTAAGGGCTGATAATTTAACAGTCTTATGGTTAGGAGAAAGAAACTATCACAGTCTGCTAGCTCAGGCTCTCTTGTGTATCAGTATACAGATGAACACAAAGGGCAGTGCATGAGGCAGTGTGTCATAACCATCGTGTACCGACCAGGAGCAGTGGAGGTAAAAGGCACCCATCCTCACAATCATGACGCATTCTGCCATCCAGGATGTGAAGATACCTTGTTTTACGTCAATGTGGCCCAAATATGATTTGCTATTTACCACATTGATGAACGGCAATGGGGGGTTTTTAGGGTAAAGATGGTCTATCAGGACAAGCAGTCTCTATGTTCCTGACTCTGAGTCACGCTTGCGTCTATGTCAGAGTCATGACAACAGTCATGTCTGCCCTGGCCTGTGTCAGATACTCCTCGGTGATTACGCTGTATGCCCACGGAGCCACTTTCATCCATGTGACTGACGCAGAAGTGCCAAGCAGTCTCCTCTGTCTCCTTTCTGAGACTGTTTGTCAGCTTTGTGTGTTTTGCTATATAACAGCTATCTGTACCACCAGCTGCGAGACACTGGTCCTTGTTTAAACAGGACTCCTTCACCCTAGTGGGTGGCTTCCCTCTCATCTAGCAGGACGTTTTTGATTTGGGCTTATTTCATTCATTTCAGGTTGTGGTGAAATATACTTGTATGTAGGACCGTAACTCTCTCTCTCACACACACACACACACACACACACAGGTTTGTAATTATATCTTTGTGGGGACTCTCCATTTATTTCTATGGGGAAAACTCTAATCCCAACATGACGACCTTAACCCCTACCCAGCCCTAACCTTAACCATAAGTAACTATACAAAATATGAGACTTTTGGCATTTTTAGTTTTTTGATTGCGTTCACAGATCTTTGTGGGGACCTGAAAAATGGTCCCCACAACATCAAAATAACAGGTTTTTATCACATTGTAGGGAACATTTGGTCCCCACAATGTAATATAAAAATAATCCGCACACACACTATTTGTAGAATTTTATTTGTTTGTTAAAGTAACTGTATGCACACATACACACTATTTGAAGAATTTTATTTGTTTGTTAAAGTAACCATATGCACACACACACTTCGTAGAATTTTTTTTCGTTTGTTAAAGTAACTGTATGCACACATACACACTATTTGAAGAATTTTATGTGTTTCTTAAAAAGTAACTATATGCACACACATACACTATTTGTAGAATTTTGTTTGTTTGTTAACGTACTGTAACTGTATGTACACACGCTATTTGAAGAATTGTGTTGGGGTTTGTTTGTTAAACTATCTGTAGGCAGTACCTGAAGACTGAGAAAACAGGTGCCGGTACTCACCTTGTTATACACTACCGGCAGATTACCAGAGGTACCAGTATGCGAGAAACGTTCCCAGTACTCTGGAGAGAGAAACAAAAAGGTATCGGTGAGTACCGACCTGCTTCAAGCCCTGTCCGTATGACCAATAATAATACACCCATTCGTGCACGGAGGGGGTCGGTAACTCCCGGAGTTATGTTCAGGGAATGTCTTAAAAGTTCTCAATACCGGTCACACGTGAATTTAAAAAAAAACAACTAACTCTATTCAGCCCCTCCCCTTAGATTGTGCTGGCAGATATTTTAGGCAAATCCATTCAGACAATCTCATACATTACCGTTAACCCTATAACAGGGTTTCACAGAAGCTTTGGGCGCAAGGGTCTAGATTTTTTTAGTATAAAAAAACAGAAAAATAAAACGTTTTCAGATTTAAAGTCACTTTTTCCTCCACCATATCTAATTATTTACCTTTTGAAGTAGATATGCGAGTTCGATATATGAGCTTTTGAATAAAGCTCATTTCTGGTAGGTAGCATAACGTAATGAAAATATAGAATATAAATGAAATATTAATTAATACTTATGAACACGCCATTGTTCATCTAATGATGTACCTCTGCACTGTTTTCCATGCACCCACCGCAGGCAAATTTAACGCATTGCTTTCTGCAAAGGACGGCGTTCACGTTACACACAACCAGTTCCCACGTTAAACTAGCTGGGAGGGAATCTATAACAAATTTACATGATTGATTATGTACTGTAAGTAAGAGACTTTTAATATCCGATGACGCGAATTACCCTAAAACGCGTGTATTTTTGCAACCACAAGTGAATAATATCAGCAACATCAATAATAATTATTGTTATCATTATTACTATTATTAACAAAAACACTTACCTTTAATTTGACTGGCACAGAGATGTCCTTCTTTAAATCACAAGTCACCGCTCCCAAACGATGCCGCAAGGGTAGTTCCAGGCTGCGGTAAACTTCAAGCCCAGCGTTAGCGGGCAGGCGACGCTCGTAGAAGCGCCCAAACGGGCTATATGTCCGCTAGGCGGAGCTGCGCGGACGCGCGGAAGGTGGAGCCGACCGGAGCCCATGTGTGTTACGCATCTGCCCCATCAATCCACCTGCGGTACGTGCGTGATATAACCGATTGTGTTTCATCACATGTTAATCGAAACACCGTAGACCATAACAGATATTGAAATGAGCAAAAATGACACATATCACATGGTACCATCATAAATTATGATATTATTAAGAGCAGACGTAATATCACATACGCGATTTCAGCATTTTTATTCTCCTTAAGTTATAAAGACTAATGGTTGTGATAAACAGGAAATGTTTATCCAAGCCTTTTAGATTCGGATAAGATCGAATCTGGATAGTTTATACAAATGAAAGGTATAAATTATATGAAAACTGGTGCCAGATTAATCAAAAGATGACTCTGATTACGAGGTGAGTCATTTTAACTCTTAGGTATTCATTAGAGATGGGAGAAACACTGACATTAGACATTAGAGGATTTTTAGTCACTGCCTGGATTTACCAAATGGAAAATTAGATAATCGGTCATTTCTTCCATTAATAGTGATTACCACAAGAATGCCACGGAGTCAAGATTCACTGAAAATTGTCGGTTTTTGTTCTGGCCCCGTACTCATCTGATCCATGATTAAAACTAGATTTTCTCCCCAAGTGTGAACAAATTACTGACTGGGCAGCTGAATTTCTGCTGGCAGAGACTGAGTTCTGTTAACTCAGAGACAGCTGCTTGCCCCCTCCCCCTGGAAAACCAATTTTCCTGACAATTATCATTACAGTCTCCGTTTGTAGCGAGTTCACAAGTAGTGTCGGATGGCATGATTCCTCAGTGGGCAGCGCATTATCTTTTCTCCAGGGATCAAATCTCTAACGGGGTCTGTGACCCCCCATGAGGCCTGTGCAGGAACTGCAGGGGGTCTGCAAATCATTGTGTAACCACAAATTACTTTTTGTGAAATGTTATGAAATCCATCCATCCATGTTCCAACCTGCTTATCCTATTGGGTTGTGGGGGGTCCGGAGCCTATCCCGGAAGCAATGGGCACGAGGCAGGGAACAACCCTGGACAGGGGGCCAGCCCATCGCAGGGCACACTCACACACCATTCACTCACACATGCACACCTAAGGGCAATTTAGCCTCAGCATATCTTTGGACTGTGGGGGGAAACCGGAGTACCCGGAGGAAACCCCACGATGACACGGGGAAAACATGCAAACTCCACACACATGTGACCCAGGCGGAGACTCGAACCCAGGTCCCAGAGGTGCAAGGCCACAGTGCTAACCACTGCACCACTATGCCACCCCATGTTATAAAATATATCTATAAATTCGATATAAACTTAAACCACTGATAAATAATCACTGCTCTATGAATTAATCACATTTGCTTGGTTGTCATCCAGACTCTTTTTTTCAGCTCAAATGTTACTGAACAGTTGTTCTGCTGGGACCTCAGAGACGAACATAACATTAGCTGTTAACGTGCCATGTTAATGAACACAGTCAGAGGCGGTGATAGAGATTTTGGGCCCCAGGAAACCATATCATATTGGGCTCCCCAGTCCAGACAAATCCAGTTGTTTTCCAAATTTATTAGGGCCCCTGTCATTTATATTTATTCATAAATAAACATTAATATGGTTCATGGTTGGCACAGTGGTGCAGTGGTTAGCACTGTTGCCTTACGCCTCTGTGACCTGGGTTTGAGTCTCTGCCAGGGTTCCATGTATGTGGACTTCACATGTTCTCCCTGTGTTATCGTGGGGTTTCCTCTGGTTCTCCTCCCCCCCACACACACAGTCCAAAAACATGCTGAGGCTGATTGGAGATACCTAATTGAGTGTGTGTGAGTGTGCCCTGTGATGGACTGGCACCCCCTCCTGGGTTGTTCCCCACTTTATGCCCATTGGCTCTGGACCTCCTGTGACCCTGAATAGGGCAAGTGATTAGATGGATGGGTGTAAACAAAATATATGGATGGATGTAATTCATGTTCATATTAATACAGGCCAGGCCTGATCCATAACACAGTTTTATAATGTGTAATGAGGGGGGTCTCTCCTCTGTCTCTCTGTCCATCACAGAGCCCTAGACCTGAAAAAGGTGGAAGGACCTTAGGTGGATTGCTGCTTCTGAGTCTGTGGGTGCCCTGAGATGGACTGGCACCCCGTCCTTGGTGTTCCCCTACCCTATACTGCCTGGAACATGCTCCAAGTTACATGGATGGTTGTGCAGCACAATAGCATCCCCACCTAGAGATAAATCAAATCATCTCTAGGCTGTATAGGGCATTTTTCCATTTATTTGAATACTTCAATTAGCCAACCCAAGGCTGCAGATAGGAATGGTGGCTTGCAGTATAATCATGTTTAGTGCTCATTTGTGTAAATGCTCCCTCCCATTAGAATATTCGCTGGGAAGGTCTGGCTGAATGTAGACTGAAGACAGAGTGCAGTTTGCCTGTAAGTGAAATTGATACTTTGTCTGCGAGGATGATTTTAACTACAATGACGGTCATTAAATAAACAGCCTCTAATACGTCCGACTGGCCTGAATATTCATGAATATGTTTGGCTTTACTCCCACAAGCTGCTGTTACATTATGGAAATAACATAAGATTTCCGCTAAGGGAGGCAATAAAAATCACTGGGGAGGACTTCAACTATGGTCTGGGCTCTCTGCTGCTGTTAATTAATTAGTAGGATAGATTTAAAGCGGTTCATGTAAGCAGTAATGCCCTTGAATGTTTGTGCTTTTCCGCAATTTCTTTTTCCGCGAAATCATTTTATTTCAGAAAGATTCGCCGTGAAATGGCGGGAATGTCATTGTGTCAAGTGCCTGACCTGCTGAAAAGAATCAGCAGCCTTCAGGGTAAGCAGGAGCTTCTGTCTGTTTACGCTGTCTAAGTTAGTTCTGTTGGGAGTACATGCTGTTTGACTCAGTCTATGGTAATTCAGACAACATAGACTGATTACATGCAAAAAAACAAAAAAAGTCTGATCTTTAGCGTGATGGCAGCCTCCTGTAGGTTGGGATCCAGGGTATCAAAAGGCTCTTGGCTTCAGGGTTGTCCTTCAAAGGGTGAAGAGACGTTTTTGGGGGCAGGCAGCTGCAGCTACATGTTTACTTTCCAAGTAATAAGTCACGCGTGGTTTAGGCCAGCAGGTTCTGGACTTGAACCATCGTCTGAGAGGTCATGGGATCAGCAGAGTAATCATATAATTGTTGGGCCCTTGAGCAACACTAATTTCATCAGGGACTCTGATGCCTGTGACTGTTCCCTGATCGTCGCTTGTATGTTGCTCTGAATTAGTGTGCCGGCGTAATGTGATGTAAATGCATTACATCAGGGACGTGAAGGAAAGTGGGTTTGCTGTGGTTTCTCTTCATAAACAATGGCTGAGATATATATAGAGCTCAGTAATTGGTTGCTGTGCAGTAGCCTTTGATTGGAATACATTGGCCAAGCATCTCAATTCATTAATTGTATAGATGGTCAGAGACGAACAAAATGGAATCAAACCAGATCATGAGCCCCTGACTGTATTGAGTGAAAAGTAGGCTCTGTTACTTAAAGTACCCCCCTCCTGCCTGCCGTTTCTGCCGTGGAGTACATCAGCAAATTAGCATCCCCTCGATAATGTTCCACTCTGTGCTGCATTCAGGCTCAAGGAAATGTGGACGGTCAGAGCTCAGTCATGTCCTCCACTGAAACCCTGCGGCGAGGAATCCCGAGCTTTCAGGAGAGGCGGGCGAGAGACGGAGCACACTCTGAGCAGATAAACCCTTGACATTTTGAAATGAATCCCCCCTTATTAATTTAAATCAGTGTATTAGACATTAGTAGTAAAATCCATGATTCTGTTCCAGCTCCGAGTTCAGAAATGGATACACTGAGGTTTTTTTTTGTTTTTTCTATCAGTGGTTGAGTAGTCTAATGATCCTCTGATTCACGTTGATTAGATTTCCTCAAAAAATTTAGACTCCTTAAAAAGGAACATGCCAGTCTGTCTGTACAATTTATGTATATTTTGAGGCTGTAAGAGTTCTCTGTTCATTTTATTTTAGGAAACTGTACATGCTTAAAATTCACAGAGGTACTTCTGTGGAGTGATTCTACAAAGCTTCTCACAGGGCTGGGAGTGGCTG